TTCCTTAATACATTAATGATGTATAGGAAAACAATATAAGTTATACATTTCTGTTGGGCGGTCGGGATCGATGGAAACCCTGGAGGCTAGTAGGTGTGACACGGAGGATCGCATAGATGTGTTCCAGCCAGGTAATCCAGCTGCAAGTTTGACTAATGGAAATGGTGTTGTGCTGCCTTCAGACGATTTGACAACGTTCACTGAGGTGAGAGGATGTGCTCATACATTTAATAACAATACAGATATGCCTCAACAAACTGTGGAAACGAAAGATAAAAACGCTTTGGTTAACCCTTTAACATCCCGTGTATATTCGGACTTAGATACAGACCGTATAAACTCTGCAGCCTTAAAGCAAATTACGTTTAGGTTGTTTCAGACCGTAAACCATGCAAAAATACTCTGGGATCCCAAAGTTAAACCAAAAGGTATTCTTGGTGGACATTTGAACATTAGGAGTGTTGTGTCAAAGACTGAGCAACTGGAGCATTTGCTGATAGACTCCAATTTGGATTTTTTGAGTTTGTCAGAGACTTGGTTAAAACCATCAACTCCACAGAGTGTTTTTAATGTGCAAGGTTATAACATTTTTAGATGTGACCGAAAACAAGGAAAAGGTGGTGGGGTAATGATATATGTGAAAGATAAGTTCAACTGTACATTAATTGAAAACCTCAGTGATTTTTTGGAATGTGTGGGTGTAACCATCAAACTCTCACCAGAAATGTCATTTGTGGTTATTGTGTTGTATAGACCTCCAACAGCAAAGGACATTTTCTTTACCCATCTCACTGAGATACTAAAAAAATTTAACAACAAGGAAATTATTTTATTGGGGGATTTTAATATCAATTGGTTAGATAAAAGCTGTAGGAAAAAATTAAAACTAATAACAACTAAGTTTCACATGGCCCAAATGATAAACAATGCAACTCGTATAACTAAATCATCCAAAACATTGATTGATCTTATATTTACAAATAGAGAAGAACGAATTGCAAAGTCCTATAACCTGATAACTGGTCTTTCTGACCACAATCTCACTTTGATAGTTAGGAGGCTATCAAAGACGAGATATAAAACTTCTAACAGAATTGACATCAAATCAGGGGCTGCATATATCTCAAAAAGAGACTTGGAATTGTTTTATAATGAAATAGAACAAATTCAATGGAATCAGATAACTAGAGGCAAAAATTGCCAATCAGCAAGTAATGATTTTATGACAACCTTTAGTGATCTCGTATCGAAATATTCCAAAGAACCATCTCGGAAGATCAAAAGTAAACCATCTATCCCTTGGATGAATGAGACAGTGTGGAATTTAATGAAACAAAGAGATGCAGCACTTAAAAAGTCCTTGAAAACAGGCCTTTTGACAGACTCGCTTTTGTACAAGGAGCTTAGAAATAAAGTGACTACATTGTTACGAAAAACTAAAGCAAATTTTTTTATGAACTTAATTGAACAAGCAAAAGGAAATACTAAAAGACTTTGGCAAACCATTGATAAAGTAACTGGTAGGAAGAGTTGCAAAGGTCATAAATTAGAAATCTATAATAAAGGATATTTGGAGACGGATGCCAAAATAGTGGCGAATCATTTTAATGATTACTTCATAGAATCAGTTAAACAATTAGGAATACAAAATAAAGATTCTAATAACTATGTAAGAGCATTTGACTTACTTAAGAGATCTAATTGTATCTCAGATGAACAAAATATGTTAAAATTTAAACTGGCAACTGAATTCGAAATAAAAAAATTTTTGCAAACACTGACAAATTCTAAAAGCAAAGATATTTGGGGAATGGACAATGCTCTTCTTAAAAAACATAAAGAAACTCTTATAACTCCTATCACATACCTGATAAATAAAACAATAGAAGAAAGTTTCTTCCCCCCTGCTTTTAAGACTGCGGTAATCACTCCAGTCTTCAAATCGGGGGACAAACATGAGGTCAGTAATTACAGACCGATTAGTATACTTCCAGTTGTCTCAAAGATTGCTGAGAAAGTAATTGCGGATCAGATAAAAGAACATTTACATAAAAACAATATACTATATCCTATGCAATTTGGATATAGAAAACATCATTCCACCGAAACTGCATGTTGCTACTTTATTGAAGATGTCAAGGCAAAGTTGGAGAAGGGCGGGGTTGTGGGAGCTGTGTTTTTGGATCTAAGCAAGGCGTTTGACACGGTCAACCACTCTGTGCTACTGGATAAACTGAGTAATTATAATTTGTCTCTAAGTGCGCTGCAGTGGGTAGAATCATATCTCAGTGACCGTGTCCAATGCGTAAGAGTCAATAGTAAGCTATCTACAACTAAGGCTAGTGACATGGGTGTCCCACAAGGCTCTGTTCTTGGGCCATTGCTGTTTGCGCTTTATATAAATGATCTTCCTTCAGTGTGTGGTGAGGTGGACATGGTAATGTACGCGGACGATATTGTAGTTTACATGCATGGAAGTGATGCAACCATTGTTGCTAAAAGGTTAACCGACGTTATGTCAAAAATCTTGGGTTGGCTTACTTCTGCCTCGCTCACACTGAATGTAAATAAAACAGTAGCAATGTATTTTAGTAAAACTAACCGACTGAGGTTCTCTTCGCCATGCATCTATGCAAATCAGAGTCAAATAAAAGTAGTGAAAGAATTCAAATATTTAGGTCTTGTTTTGGATTCAACTTTTACTTTTAAAAAACACATAAAGAAAATTGGTCGCACGCTACAATACAGTCTGTCTAGTTTTAGACATATTAGGAATGCATTGACTCATGATGCTGCAAAAATTTACCTGGAGGCAATGATAATTCCACATATTAATTACTGTATTTCTTGTTGGTCACAGGCTAGTGAAACGGCAGTAAAACCTTTAAAATCTTTATATAATCAAGCTGTAAAAGTTTTAGATAAAAAAACATTGAGATATCATCACTGTCTGGTTCTTAGAAAATACAGTATGTTAAACTTTGACAATTTAATTGTGTATGCCAATGTGCGATTAGTTTTTAAAATTTTGAATAATATTGCGCCTCCTCCCCTAAAAACGTTTGTACAGTTTTGCTCTGAAAAGATGACTAGGAGTACCAGGTCCACAAGTTGCAATGATTGCAGGCTGCCTAAATGTAGCTCGGCCTTTGCACAGACAGCCTTCTCATTCAAGGGCATTAAAGAATGGAACAAACTCCCAAAGGCTCTAAAACTCACTTTTAACCTGAAGGATTTTCTATCAATATAAGGAAAGTACTATTGAACAACCAGTTGTGCCAGCATAGATAATTATGTATGTAAATATGACTTTTAGTGAGGTTTTATTGATGGTTGAAATAGAGAATGATGAATGAATGAATTGATAGATAGTTGTATTTGAGTGACTAATTATAACATTTTATATTGTATATTTTGTATTGTAATTCACCTGCTCGGGGACTACAGGTGGAAACTAGCTTAAGCTAAATCTGGTGCAAAGCATCTTTAATTAATGTTTTTTTGCACATTGTCCCTGTTGAAATAAATAAATAAATGAAAATAAATGAAATGAAGTTTAAAAACATGATTGCTAGAATTATATAATTATAACTTTGTAATTTCTATTGCTCCCTCTGCTGAAAGTGAACTTTTTTATTGTTTTAATTATGATTACATTATTAACCAATGTCACTGATAAACTGGTAAAAGGATCTGTACACAAATCATCTAAATCAATTAAAAAGAGTTTGTGCACATTGCAAAACAACACAAAATGCCTAATAAAAGCATAATCATACGTGGTTTGTTCAATAATTTGCTCTTTAAATCAGACAGTTAATATCAACTTGATAATCAAAGTTCAAAACTGAAAGTTTCTGTTTTTAAAGACTTCCATACTCCTTTAGGAACACAAAAAGTGCACATAATAAAATGTATGTGAGTGCAGTCAGGAGTATGACATATTGAAAATAGTGATAGCATGCACTTTCAACAATAACTGAAAGAGAATTCAACCAAAGTCAATGGCAAGTGCCCAACTAAAGGGAACACTAATCATCATAATGGTGACTTCAAACAGACTTCATCAACTTTTTTACTTATACCATATGAAATAAACAAAGGCAAACTGGTTTGTACTGTAGTAATACTATTACAGTACTATATGGTAATGCTATTTCAAAAATTGTTTAATCATCCCTGGGTGAGATATTGATTTATCTCAGGCTGTGCGGCTGTGAGTCAGTTGGAGTTGTTGTGCTGTCTGCTTGTCTCTTCTCTTTTTTTCCTGTTCTTGTTGTTCCTCTTATCTTCAGTGATTTTGCTTGTTAACAGCTGGTGTTCATCACTAATGGTCAATCATCACTTGTAGAGTTAATCTACTTAAACACTGAAGCAATGTTGCAGTAAGTGAAATACTTTCACTCACTATAGATTGGGATCATGTGAAAATGGAGCAGTGTTTATTTGGCACTGAAGTACCAGTAAACATGTAACTAGCGACATCAATTTTTCTTTTTATGAAATAATATATAAAAATCAATTAGGAAAATTGTCTTGGTCTTTATTTAACTACAAACACAGCAAGCACACAAAAGACAATATTTACAGGTTCACCAGCATCCCAAGTTGGTATCCAGCAAACCAGAAACCAGAATCCTATGCTGGTCCCAGCATACAAAACATACCTTTTTTCAGTAGTTTTTATATCAAAATAAGTTTCTGGATGCAAAAACTCAGGATACATATGGCACTTTTCTATCTGAACAGTGTTTCCCACTTGAGTTGAGGTCATCTGGAAACAGTGAATACAAAATAAACTGTTTTAATGTATATGCAAATGATTGTTTGCACTTTTTAATGTTACATAACAGTGATATTTGAATACTTTAGTTAATTATTGTCTTTTGTGGTTTTTAAACTTCTTATCTTATGAACGGGACAGCTTTACCACCCTTCCTAACCACATGATCACCACCTGATTCCCTTTTATTCTGCGAAAGAGTATAAGCAGTTACTCTTATGATATCGTACTTACATTGGCTTACATCCCAGAAGAGTGAACTGAACTACAGAGAAAAGTGCGGCAAACCAACTGCAGAGAAGATTCTTTCTTTTTTTTTTCTCTCGGTAAAACAACATTATATACTTACACTGACTATCTGATTACCATTATACAGATGCTTATCTTTCTATATGTCTACGTTTTATTTTTCATTCTATATGTCTACGTTTTATTTTTCATTTTTCATTTCATTTCGTTTTTTAATTTTATTAATGTATGAATTTACTTTATATTGGATGGTAGGGCACTTTTGCAAGTTTAAACATGAGTTGTTTGTTATATCGAATATTCTTTGTTTTCAAAGTCTAATAGAGTTATTCTATTTCATTTTAGATTGTTTATTAGATTGTTTATTTAGCCACACAACAATGCCGGTGGAATTTGTTTTCGGTACAGTATGTTTAAACTCTACATAATGTGTATATACTACAAACAAGAAATAGACAATACACTTCACAACATGTAACAATATAAGATACAGTGGGTATAAAAAATAATGACAATTGATTGAATGAAGACAATAATTGAACCAATGGTAATATCTACTATTGACATAACTGCACTCTTTTTCAACAGCATGAAGAACACTTGTATAATAATAAATATATATTTTAATAAATAAATGTGAATGATTGTTTATGTAAAAAATCTATATTATAATCATATACTTTACATGTCTCAATTTACTATAATTTTGTACAGATCAATTTCAGATTCAGAAAGAAGAATGTCTCACACTGTCACACCCGTGAACTCTTCAACACTTGTCATCCAGTTTCAACCACCAGCAGCTGGAACTGGGACAAATGCTCCTGTGCCTGTTTATGGACAACAGCTAGCAGGAGTTTCACCTCTTCATGGACTTCAGCCATTTCTGAAAGGCCAACCAAAAGCCCTTGGGGTAAGGAATTGTTCATAAGCACAATTTTTAAAAAAGATTTTCGGTGGTGTTTCAGTCTGAGGTAAGGAAAGTACATGAACAAATTCTAAAAAGGGAGTGGTGCCCACATGAACAAAGTGCAAGGTTGGACAAAGTGTAAGTGTAATTTCCTGCAGGGGTTCAAGCCAGAGACCTGCACGGATTCGGGTACCCGCGGGTCTCCGACGGGTGACCCGCAAATTTTGCTCAAACGGGTGAAAAATTTCCAACTGTGTCAGATACGGATGCGGGTCGGGTCGGACACGTGGAAACGCGGGTCTAAACACGGTTCAGAACAGTCACGTGCAAATGTAAAAATAAATGCATATTTTTAGGAACACAAAACTATGCCTGCCCTGTATTTCAAGTTGATAAAATATTTGTTTTTAGTTTATTTGAGCCCGCGCCCTCCCATGAGTCTCTAGGCCTAACGTTACATTCACTTTTAAAAAATCACAAACACTCGAACTGCTCCGCTGCATGCATGAGTCGTCGAGATGGATAGTGAGGAGTTGGAAAAAAAAATTGCAAGAGGATTATAAAGTTGTCGACAATACTTCATCGAAACTCAAGTCAGGTGTGTGGGAGAAATTTGGAGTCATATCTGATGAAGAAAGCAACATTGTGAAAGGCTTTGCTGCATGCAAAACCTGCCTTAAAGTTTTCGTGTTCGATAGCCGAAAATATGGAACTTCGTCGCTGAGGAAGCACGCAGATACCTGCAGTATCAAACCAAACACCAGTTCTATCGAACAGTATTTTTCAAAGGGGACAGAACTGAAGGTGCCTCGTAGAGATGATAAGGACACCATAACCAGGCTGTTTGTGAAATTTGTATGCAATGATATTAGACCATTTGATGCGGTACACGGCGAGGGATTTTTTGCATTAGCACAAGGGTTGATAGACGTTTAAACAGGGTTTAAACAACTACTGCCTGACCCTACGACGGTTTCTCGTGGTGTTAACAAATATGCAGAGGAGATTCGCCAAAAACTAATCCCAGAACTTAAAATGCAGTTGGAGGGGAGTAATGGAGCTGTTACATTGGACATGTGGACTGACGATTACAGAAAAATCGGCTACCTTTGTGTTACTCTGCACTACATTAACAATAAGTGGGAGCTTATCGAACGTGTGCTGTGTACCTCTGAGTGGGACAGTTCACTATGTAAAACGGCTGACAACATTAAACCAGCCATCATCAGCGCATTGCGTAAATTTGGCATTGATGAATTCTACTCCAAACTCGTGTATGTGACAGATAGGTGTGCAAATATTGTTGCAGCTCTGCGTACAGTGACCAGATTGAGCTGCGCTGCCCATATTTTTAATACTGTCCCCAGCCAGCAATGACATGTGGGGCCCATATGAGGGCTTGATGGGCGGCAAATGTGGGCCCCATTATGGGCTTGCACCCGGGATCCACATTGGGGCAAGCTGTGGAAGCCCAGATGTACTAAAATTGGGACCAGTACGGGTACTGCGTGGGTCTTAATTGGGCAATTCATGTCAGACCCATTTGGGCCCCACCTGGCCAAATGGGCCTTAAGTGGGCTTGCACCCGGGATCCAACTATGGTTACCCAGATGGGCTTCAAATGGGCTCTGTAAGAGTCTTATGTGGGTCCTAAGTGGGAAATTCAAGCCAGACCCATTGGGGCCCCACCTATCCTGTACACTACATTCAAACCGTCCCAGGAGGATATGTATGGGGAAGAAGTAACTGCAATGATTGACTCGGCCAAGTCACTGGTGACTTATTTCAAGCAGACCAACCTCCAGGCTCGGCTGAAAAAGACTCTTAAAAACTCTGTAGAGACATGTTGGAATTCTCTGCATACAATGCTAGAATCTATCATCAGTATATATATGAAGACATCCGCACACTTCTGGAAGAGCGAGGGGAAGTTGACCGCCTCACAAATTTGGATGGAGAGGTCCTCTCCGACTTTGTTGCGTTCCTGGTGCGATTCAAGGAAGCCACTAAAGCGTTAGGGGCATCGAAAACTCCGACTCTCCATCTAACCATTGTTTGGTATGAGCGCATCAGACGCCACTTGCAAGCTTCTTCAAATGATAGCGTGACCATTTCCTCACTGAAGGAGAAATGCCTCAGTATCCTCCAGGACAAGTTCGAAATTCATCGTTTGAACAGACTTGCAATGTTCCTGCATCCTAAACTAAAAAGTATGAAGCTACTTGCTGCTGACAGTGAAGTGGCAGGCGTGCACAGTGAGATGCGGCGGCATGTGAAAGGTCAGTATTAATGCAACACAGCCACAGGGGGAAAAAAGGTATTTTTTATTAAATAACATTTGAACACCAAATAACAATATTAACTATTGAGAGGTTCATGAAAAATGTCACAAAGAAACGGGAAAAGTAGCCTAATGATTATTGAATAGGCCTAGCCTATGTCAAATATAACCAGGAGACAGCAGTCTGTTTTCTTTCGTTTTAAATTGTAATGTTTAAAAGTACACATTTCAAGCTTTCTATATATTTATCAGGTGTGTGATGCATGTAGCTTATACACTGAGTTTCGTTAATTTCCAGTTCATGCGCCGTTGCCTCCGCAGGCTCCGCTCCGTGTCCTGATGCCTGCCCTGCTATTAAAATGTATTAAATTCAGACAATTGGTTATAAAACATTGATTAAAATGAATACAAAACAAAATTCACTTTAAAGAAATGCTTTATACAATAAGAAACTTAATGAAGTGGTCAATAATGTCTGCCCGCCCCACATATCGCACAAGTTATGATCTTAGGCTACTATGCTTTTCACTTCTCATTTAATCAACATTGATGAAACAATATATAAATATATATACAATTGTGAAACTACATTTTTTCTTTAATTGGTTGATAGTACTTTGACAGTACTTTCTTCAGTTATTCTTTGTTTTGCTCATCCACAAATCTGTATGTGACCTAGATATTTTTGTAGTAAAAATGCATCACTACAGCTGTTGTAAATTTATATTGATCATGTAATATTGTTCCCCAAAATGTTATACTGTTTTACTTTATAAAAGACTCTCTTGTCCTTCACAGACTGTCCAGATAATGATTGGTCTGTTGACTCTCTTGTTGGGAATCGTGTCTACAATTTATGCAGATTCCATCTTTGTCTTTAGTGGTATTCCTTATTGGGGATCTCTCATTGTAAGAAACACAAATACATTTAAATGTTGTGTCTTTTTTATAACACAAGTTACATTTTCCAACAGAAGCCTTGATTTTTGTCTCTCTCTCTGCTCTCAGTACATCAGCGCAGGCTCGCTCTGCATTGCTGCAGAAAACAGAATTCAGAATCAGAATTCACCCTCCAGTTTGTGTTTGGTAAGTACATAACACTGGTTGTTTTATGGGTTTAAACACTATTGTGTTTGTACTGATTTTCTTTAGTGATTTTGTGATGTAGATCTCCTATTTCATTCCATTTCTTGCCATTTTAAATGTTCTGAAACATGTTTTTTTTTTTCCCCCAAGATTTTTTTATTCTTTTCCAAACATGAACTATGGATGTCATAACAATAGTATGACTCGGATACATAAAAAAAAGTGTCTGCTACCAATTAAATTTCGGCGACTAATAGTTTCTGGACTTCTGGTGACTTCATCAAACTGATGGCATCTTGAAAGATTCTCAGACAAAGTGATTGAATTTAGCCCCAAAACATGAGAAACAAAGCGCTGAGTCACCATTAAATGTCTACTTCTGTTTGCTGTAAAACTACCCCAGACAGCAAACTGACATTGAATCAACGTGGAAACGACGTCTCTCATGACATTGAAACAACGTTGATTTGCTCATCGAATTAACGTTGAACCAACGTCAGACGCGGCATTCTTCAAAGCTAAATGAAAATCGAAAATTGGTTTGCTTTCATAACGTAAAGTAGTTATTAGATACATATTAATCATATCCCTTAATCATCCACATGAACAATTGGTGCTTGAACTCTGATCATTGATGCTTGGCATTTAAAGTTCTTGCTAATTTATTAATCCATTTTATGTTTTTTTTTTTTTCTCTACCTATAGGTGAAAGGTTCACTTGGCATGAACATTTTCAGTGCTATAACTGCAGGCACTTCCTTTGTCATAATTTCATTGGATTTGGGTCTAGGGCCATTCAACATGTACGATTACTGCAATGATTATGATTGTTATTATATTGAGGACAAGTATAAGGTGTGTCACAAACTTTTATATTCACATTTATTTAGTCAATACAATAAGATCACTGTGTGCTCAGTAAACTTGTCAAATGTCAAGTCTTAATCTGCTTCAGAAATAGTTTATTGATCTCTTGCTATTACTGAAGACAATACAAGAAGGCATTATACATTAATTTTAAACTCTGTCCAGTTTGACCTATAAATATGTTATTACTATATGAACTTCTGAACAGCCAGTGTACGGATGTGAGTGCTAATTATTAATTATTTTGCCATTATTATTTGTGCTAATGTTGAATTCTCTCTCAGGCTCTCTTCTGGGGAATCGGTAGTGTATCGTTGATATTCGCCTTCCTTCAGTTTATCATCTCCATCTGTCTGTCAGCATTTGCCTGTAAAGTCGCCTGCTGCTGTTCTCCACAGGTGAGTGATGCGTCAAGACTTCAGCAAACGTTGTTGTCACCTGAAATCCTTAAGATATAGAATGGAAATTGTTTCTTTCAAGGGTGCTTAAACTTGGGTTCACGCTTTACAAAAACCATCAAGTACTACAACTACAATACTTACAGTAATTTAAGCTTTACAATGTAAAATTCTTGAGCTTTAAACTTCTGTCCACAAAAATGTTTTATGTAAATAAAATAAAGTGAACTTAGCACACACAGCATTACCCAATGTTAAACTCACAGTACTTGCAAAGATGTGTGAGAAGCCGCATTTACTGTGAACCGAGCAGCTCTAAAAATGTGGTATTATAAACTGCACACACCCCATGTACATGATCACAGAAACATGCAACTACCAATTCAATTCAATTTTTTCCCTACTTAAAAACAATTAAAATTTTTATTTCAAGACTTTTATCGGGTTATCGTTAAAGCACCATGTCTTGTAGAACTGCTTTCTTACATATAACTTATTCCAAAACATGATTTTAGAGCTAGTAATGGAGTTTTTAACCATTGATATCCAGAGATTATCCATCGAGTATGAATTACCTGAGTGTGTGTGTGTCTCTCAACAATGTTCAGCAGCAACATCTCTACTAATAGCAAAACTCCAAATGTAACAGCTTTAAAAACAGCAACATTAATATGAGAATATCATGTAGTTTTTCAGTTGTGATATTATTTCAAGAAATCCAAATGAAAGCATAAGGTTCCTCAGCAGGGGGTGTCAGAAGGATTTCTGTCTTTTGCTTTTTTCTACTCCATTTGAAGAACATTGATGTCCATAAACCTGTAAAACTGAAACTGTCTGCCAGTGTCATTGCATGTGTGGTGTTTCACAGTGAGAAGACTTAAACTCTACATGTGTATTTTTCCAAAGGTGCCGTTAGTTCCTCAAGTTTTGACTCAACATCCCTGTTGTTTTGGGCACAATCATTTCCAAGATCTTAACAACTCGGAGGTAAGAGGAGCTTGTAACCCCTGTTTAATTAGACTTTGAGTAAAATAGTACCCCCCAAAAAAAACAGTTCCACAAAACAAATGTATTATTTGACTTTAGTGTCACTATATATGAACTGGAAGTGTGTAAAGCACTGAGTAATGGGTGCATTAATTGTTAAATAATATCAATAAGTAAGTAATCAGTAAGCAAAGAAGCTGATCATATATATGTATATATATATGATATATGTCAGCCAAATGAATAAATGTAAATGTATATATTTCTTTTAGATACCTGTGGTCAGCAACCCTGCCATGCACCACCTTCCTGCAGAAATTCCTCCACAATACAGTGAATCTAAATAAATATGAATATTAAAAGTCGACCGAGTTGAAATGGGACACATGGGTTTTCACAGGGCCTTCCTGTCTATTATCTCTAATGACTCTCATTAAAAAGAGAACATGACAGCAAATGAAAAATGACTTGATCAGATTACAATTACAGATTTCATAACTCACAAATGTATAAGAAAAAGTAAGAAAATAATGAAATAGTCTATTCTTGAATAGTTATTTAATAACTACTCAAGAATAGATACTATTTCATTATTTTCTTTGTCAAGAAAGTTGCCTAATAATTGATAAAACTTGTTTTATATCTTGTTTTGCACAACTAATTGCTCAATACAGTATAATCTGTGAGAATAAAAATACAGAATATATTGAGTTTGTTTGTCACCTTTATTTAAAGTGTGTGATATTGCATTGTCATCAGTTTCATGGATCTCATCAACAGAGCATATAAAACAGGCTATCGAGGAGATGCTGAACTCCTGGGAAATAGACAAGCAATAGACTAAACCCCATGACATTGTGCAGGACAATGCAAGAAATATATATATAAAAAAAGCAATGGATAGTATGGTGGTAGTAAACATGGGTTATATCGCACACATTCTTCAGGCCATATATAAGTGTCTCAGCATCACAGAAACATTGCTTATTGGAAGGAAGATTGTAGGGCATTTTAACCATTCACCTCAGGCAGTTTCAAGCAAAACTTTTAATAAAAAACTATTTATTTAAATAGTTTTTTATATATTTAAAATATATTTAAAATATTTTCGATAAAAAACTTTTGTGACATGATAGCGTTTCCATTAATTCGATGCATTGAATTGATCAAAAGTGACAGTCAAAGTTAAAATATCTATTCAAAATAAACACTGTGCTTTCAACTTTGTTCATCAAATAATTCTGCATAAAATTTATCATGGTATCCAGAAAAATATTACACCGCTTTCAACATTGATAATAGTAAGAACTGAGCATTACATCTTCATATTAGAATGATTTCTGAAGGATCACGTGACACTGAAGACTGGGGTAATGATGGTGAAAATTCAGATCACATGAATAAATTAGTTTACTATCACTTAGAAAAACAGATAACCTATGTTAAATTGTAATACTACAGTTTTTACTGTATTTTTTATTAAATAAATGGAGAAGAGACCTTTGTAAGAAATCTTCCTTACAGTTTCCGTTGTAAATACAGTCCATCGACTGTCATCCTCACACATGCGTTGTGGTGCTCGAAAGTGCTGCACTGTTTACAATGGAAACTGCGTAGGAGACTGACACAGGCTACAACTAAATCGTTGAATAAAGTCGTTATTTTTACACACAACAAGTATTCTTGTCACTTCATTAAATTAAGGTTGAACCACTGTATTCACTCACTGTATAGGCTCCAGTCAATGTAGAAACAAATGCTACTGGAACCATAAAGATTGCAGCCCAGTGCCAGCAGACCATAAAGTTGCCAATTGCCCAGGAGCTTCATGAGATTGGCCATGGTTTTGAAAATTTGACAACAGCCCCATCTTCTCCAAGTATGAGGGTGCCATAGATGGGTATCATATCCGCATCAAGACCCCCGCTGGCCAGGACTACACCAATAGAAAGCTTTCCCCATCCATTACAGTTCAGAGGTGGACCACACCTTTACCCCAACAGTCATCGTGGCTTGTGCGGTTCTCCAAAATATCTGCCCAACAACAGGAGGCGTAACTGAAGTTGTGGAGGACATTGGTTTGCCTCCACCTTGTCCAGTGAGAGGAGACCAAAGTGCCTGGTGTGATAAACTGGCAGAAAAACTCTCAGGAGCAGGATTATTTGTAGTTTTTCTCCCCAAAATGATTATGTTCATACTCCAAGGCAATGTAGAACAAAGTTTAAAAAGACTTTATTTGATCATGCCTTTAAGTGAATAAAATTGGTGACAGATACAGTTTATTATTTTAAGATATATATTGCAGTGGACTCGTGAATGTGCTCTGTTATTAAATACAGGACAGGACAGAAAATGTAATAACTTACAGTAACGGGAGATGGCTGCTGTCAAATCAGCCTCGACAATCAAGATGTTGAAACGGTTGTAAAGGTAAAAAATATATTACTGACTTTAGATAACAGTGTGACTCAGCAAATACAGACTCAACAATAAAGGTTTTTTTTTTTTTTACTTTATTGTGGGGATTGTTTTTTAATTATAAATAAAACACTGTATGATTTAGTTCAATTTCAATTCCACTGCATTAAATTTGTCTTTTAAAACATTTCAAATATACACATTTGAATATTCTAGAAAGATTCATCTTCTAGGGATTCATTCTCTGTATGACTACATGACTGAACATGACACTTCTGAACCCAAGAGAGATACACTGGTTTTTGGACCAACTGAGATTCCAGTTCCCAGGAACTTTGCCTCCAGTCCACCCAGGCCCAAAGATGCACCCGTGTCAACTCCTAGCCCCAGTTTAGCAACAACTGGGCCAGCTTTTGCTGAAACACTTCCAACTTCAGCACGAGCAATCACTCCAGCTCCAGTCCAACTTGCCTCAGCACCAGCAGAAGCGTTCGGACCTTTGGCTTCTGCCTCTAATACACTCACTTCAGCGGCCGCACGACCCACTCCTGCTTCTGCAAAGACTCCTGCCTTGGGAATTCTGTGTCCTGGTTTGTCTTCCAAACCTACTAAATATTTCCTACGGTTTGCATATTTGCCTTGTTTACTGGTGTTTTTTGGTCGGTCAAATGTGTCGATGATGTTTATGGTGTCCAGTAAATCAACATTGACTGATGCAAGTTGGATACTTGTTTTTTTTGAAGTTTCCTTTTTGATTTCCCATGTTTCTTTTTTAAGTAAACTCTTATTTATGTCACTTGAAATATTGAAATCTATGGGGTATCGTCCTTCCCGTAGCCGTTTGCTATAAATTATATTTGATTTGTCATCTGCAGATAAAAGACAAAATAGTTGCAATGACTTTAACATGAAGGTCTATTTCAAAAGACATAATTAACTTTATTTATTTTTTTCATAATTTGTAAGGTAACCAACTAAACAGTTTTAAAATTTGTAAAAAAAAATTTTTTTTTTTTACAAAAGTCATGTCTATTCATCTGACTGTTTTTGTAAATGTTTATTACTGACTCCAAAACACATTTTATGGTATGTTGGACAAGTGTTTATGGTCACTCTTCTGGACTGAATTTGGACTTTGTATTTCCTTATCTGCCTATTTTATTAGTAGTTTGCTTAGATAAAGGCCTGTTTAGTTTCTGTTTCATTTTAACATTGTTTTATTTTCTTCACTCTGCAATCTAATTCTCACTTTATTCAGTATTTCCCAACCTGCTACATTATAATTTTAGATATTAGTTTATTTTATTAGTTTACCAATGCTACATTTATGCTGCTACACACACACACACACACACACCTACACACACACACACACACACACACACACACACACACACACACACACACACACACACACGTATCATTTTATCAATGTATCTAAAAAAAATCTAAAAATCTATCTATCTAATCTAATTAGAAAAGTATCTAATCTAAAAAAAAATATTAAAATGCACTTACCTTGTTCATCTTTTTCAGCATGTCTCTTACTCATTTTGGTTGTATAATGGCCTGGACAAGTTTGAAAACTAGGTTTTAATCCAGTGACGCGTTGTCGCAGACTTTATTTGAAGAGTGGCTTCTATTAAATGATTTCACTTTTTATTTTCTCTGGTTTGGGGAGGAGTGTGAGAGTTAAACTAGTAAAGATCTTATCAAAGACCTTTGTTTCGCTGTAGAAAGTCCAGCAGCGCATATAGTTTTGTTGGGGCATAATATGGACATGGCTTTGTGAAATGAGGGGTTTCTTATCTTGACGTCTACGCAAAGCACAAAAATGTATCTTTTTATGGTACACTAAGTGACTCAAAATATGTTTTTATTTTTATTTTGAATAAATAAGTATTTTCTCTCTTTTACGTAATCTGCGGCTCATTGAGAGTGATTGAGAGATCGTAGCAGATAAATTCAAGTGAAACATTGTAGGTAAACGAATTCATAATCACAATACTGAAATTCCAGTACAAATTTAGAACTGAAACAAATGTAGGCTTCTATTATTGCATCAAATTTAAGCAAAGTAGGCTAAAGGTAAAAGGGATACTCCACCCATAAATTAAAATTCTGTCATCATTTACACACCCACCTTCAAGTTGTTGCAAGCCTGAATGAGTTTCTTTCTTCTGCTGAACACAAAGGAAGATATTCGGAAGAACGATTGGAACTTTGGCACCAAAGTTGGTGCCAAAGTTCCAATCGTTCTTCAAAATATTCCTTTTTGTCACAACAATGGATCTTACAGTATCACATTTCTACTATAATTAATAATACAAAATTAATAGTATATCACCCCTTTAAACAGAGATTAGGCTCTGGATAAATTCAGTGAATCAAGTCTCAAAATTGTGCGTTTTATCATCAAAACACAACCATCAACACCTGATTATATTTTCTTTTGGCTTTTGTGCCACAACAAGTGCGTTTTATAACACACAGTTACAGCAGCCAGAGAAAAACTTCAAGGGTCACTAAAACAAATTCTGATCTCTATCGTGTTAAGTTTAATGAAACAATAAATCATCAACATATAAACCTCTGTTATTCTCAATAACAACTTCAGTAGACGCTTGACAGAAATAAAGTCAGTCGGGTTAGCAATAGGTGAAGCTGGTAAAGCTGTTTGTTGTCACGGTGCAGGTGCAGGCAGAAAGACAGGCTGAGTCAAAAAGGCTTCAATACAAAAGGTTTACTAATTATAAAGTTCAGATACAGGCAGGAAGACTGGGTAACACCACGTAACATTAAACATCGACCGACAAGGACAGACTGAATGGAAAGGAACTAAATACACACAGGAATCAAACTAAACGAGGTGAAAACAGGTGAAACAGATGAATACAGGACGCTGAACGGGAGGCTGATGAGGGAGTGAGTTCAGGTGTGGAGACAAGAGGATCCTGGGAAGTGTAGTGCTGGAGACGCAGACAGGATGGTGCAGACGAAGACTGTGACATTTGTATAGTTGTTTAATTGTTTAATCCTCCTCTACTGAGATCTTCAGAGCTTCAACATCATCTTTTATCTTCAGTTGATTTAAAGAGGAACTTGGCAAATATTAATATACCTGTTCTGGAGAGAATGGTGACTTTCCCCGCTCTCCCCAGCGTTCCCAGGTGGAAAACCAACCTTGCAACATGGGGACTAACGTCCCGGTAAGTTGCAAATAGGAAGTCTCATGAGAAGTGAAAACAAGTGAGAAACACAAACTACTTTACGGCAATTCGACATTAACACATACGCCATATGATACTGTGTATGATGACAGCGTCAGGCAGAAGGGTTGTATTATGGTTACGTTGACTCAAGTACAATAAAATGAACGTGTGACGAATCATAAACTGATGCAAATTAGGAAGAGGACAGACAGAGCTCGCTCTTTCAGCTCTTCAGATTGCATAATTCAGTGGGAAATAAATAAAGTATATTCTATTTGACTAAATATTTTGCAAACGTGGTAATAAATCAATATTTCTCCAAATATGCACACTTTTGAACAGAGAGCTCACGTAATTGAGCTGTTTTAAAATCCAGTGAATGTTTAACAACAATAATCTGGGACATTTGCAATCTTTGCATTTGAGGGGTTAAAAACAAGAAAAAGTTTTAAGACCTTCATGCCAACTATGCTGTTATGGTCTAGGCCGACCTGAAATGTAGGACTGACAGCCTGACTCCATAAAATATACATGATGGAGAATATGCTAAAACACATTTACAAAAGAATGAAAGGCTTTAACAATAATACTTAATGTAGACTAAGCATGCTCACACACACATGCACACATTATGTTTTAGATACAGATATTTGAAATATATGATGGGTAACAAAATGTTTACTGCAAGTATTCTCTATAAAACACAATTTTCAGGTTTTGCATTACTCCTAATGCACAATTGTCAAAACTAATGTTTCAATAGATATGAAGTGAGGGATTTTGATCAGATATGATTGTGAATGTTATAATAGTGATTTTATAATGTCTAAATATGAATTGTAGAACCACATTAGTGAGTTAAAAAGACTAGTATTAGCTTGCTTTCATTGAAATGTGTTTTAAAAGTGTCAGTTTGTCTCCTCTAAAGCAAGGCACATTTTCCATGTTAACTCCATTAAACATGCTTACACACACACACACACACACACACACACACACACACACAATTTGTTGTAGATACAGATATTTGAAATTGTTAAATAAATGCTTATTTCAGGACTCCCATTTAAAACATAATTTTCAGGTGTCATTGTGATCATAATGTGATATTGCAAAATATGATGCATAAAATTAAAGCTGCCGTCGGCAACATTTTTTTGATCATATTCAGTGAAATCGACACTATAATCCGACAGAACGACATAAATAAAGTGTTTTTAGAAAAGAAACCCGAGCTTTTAACTCCATCTGGAGCGTGTTATTTGTTTTACAAAAATCATCGAGTGCAATCAGCGCATGAAATCTGACTGTCAATCACAGATCGGGCGCACGCTACCCCTCGCGCACGTTACAATCACATGCACACGCCTGAAGTTCGCGGCGTAAGGAAGAGTGATGGCGGAACACTAACAAACCAAGTAAGCTCATTTAGAGTATAGATGACATTAGCAATTGCAATATATTGGTAGATTAGCCAGGGCAGCATACCTCCAAATACTGTAATCCATGGTGTTGATGGATGCTGATGAGACGCCGTTCACAGATAACCTGGTGCGCACGCACTATAGTGGGGGAGGACCATATGAGTTGTAAACATTCAAAATTTTGCCCAAGTCCACTCAATCTGCCAGACTTGCCAACTGCAGCTTTAACAATTGAAGATGTGAATTTTGGCAGTCATTTGTAATGTTATTTTAATGATTTTATAAAGTTTAAATATGATTTCAAATGCAAAACACTTGAAAATGATGTATGGCCGTTAAGACCTGACTTTGTCGAGGTGCTGAATTAATGATCCTGTGCTTGATTTTTCCATCTTCCTCCATATCCTCTCCTTTTACGTCCCAAACAATTTAGTCATTTGTATTTTCTCCCTATTTGTTCAAAGTATATGTTTTGTTAAAAAACTAAAAACAAGAGAAAACCACTGGACAGATACTACTTTTATTCTACAATTCTGATATGCTGACTGAAAATAAAGAATTTATACAAAACAAAAAGAAAACACCTTGAAAATAATTATTTTGCAGAGCTGAATGAGTTTGTTTTGTGAATTTGTTTTAGATATAGATATTTTAACAAAACACTTAACAAAACATAGGTTCTCATTTATACAGGTTCATATGTTAATGATTCTTCAATTAAATCTTAAATCATACACTGAAGGTTCAGAATTATTGGAATCACATTCTGCAAAGCTCCTGTTATCTTAAGGGGAACAGAAGGAAACCACTGAAAGTGCTGTGGTTATTGTGGTTATCATATATCCTCCTGCCAGACCAAAGTCTCACATAGACAACATCTCCAACCTCCAGGATCAACACAACTCCATTAGAGGAGTTTAAATCACCCTGAGGCTGATTAGCATATGCTGAAACCACACGCTCTCCATTCTTATCAATGGATGCAGATGCTACTGTTGGGCCATAACCAAATACAGAGATTCTGAACATGTACGCTCCTTTCAGCGGGGCTGTGAAAACACCTAAATCAAATAACAAGAGATACAAAATCAGATGATTACTGTATGATCGCTTAATTATCAAACACACTGTGTTGATAGTTTCGAAAGATGAGAGATGATTTCAGGCTACGCTTACACGACAACAATATCCTGAAAACAAACAAGGTTTATTCTTTGCGTTTTTCAATCCCCGTTTACACAGATCAGAGGAAAAGCTTTAAAGAGCTGTATTCTGCTGCCAGGCCAGTAGTTTGTGATGTCACTTTGTAAAGAAACACTCCGGATATAGTAGTATAGACTGATCATGTAATAAACATGCGCATGACATCACCGTTTTCAGATATTCACTTTTTGTAGTTTACTCGAACACGATAAAGGTATTGTTTCCAAAAACTTGCACTTTGAAGCCCCCCTTTTTTAAGTTTACTTTTACAGGCCGCCAAAACACATACAAGGTTTTCAGTTTTTTGTTGAAACCAGTGTCGTTTTTCCTGGCTCAAAACGAGGTGGTAAAACCCTGATCATGTATTTTATTAATAAGATAATTAAATTAGTATTTTTCATAGACCATCATATAGCCTACTGTGTTTAACACAGTATATTTCATGGGTGGAGCTCGGTACCTCCAGTGGGGTCCGTGGTCATCCCCCCACCAGGAATAACATTTTGTACATTTTTAAGATAAATTCATTAATCTGGTGCACTTTGAGTCTGGTTTCTAATCCGAATCCGCTGTTTAAAATAAATAATCCAACCGCCCAAACCATCTGTATCTGATCATCACATTGCAATTCTTCAAATTCTCAGTGTTAAAGGAAAGTTCAGTATTTAACAATTAAAGCCCTGTTTTAAGATCGTTTCTGATGAAATAGAATTGTTAGGAATGTTTTTTAGACAGATGCTGCTGTCCCGGGAATTTTCAGATTCTGTGGTAGCACCCCCACACCTCTACAATGGTAGCATATGTGCACAGGAACAATCCTTTATAAAACGCATTAAACATTAGTTTACAAAAATGTGAAACTCACCAAGTGGTCAGGGGTGTTCACTGAAATGCTAACACAAAAATCGCTGGAAAAGATGCTTTCCAACAGGTGTTTTACCATTCGTAGTAAAACTGTAGACCTATTTTTCAGACCGCCTCACAACTGTACAATCTTCCGTTGAGAGCTTGAATAATAGACACTCCAGCCCAGTTGGTGGCGATAATGCACCTTTGTCAATTGCAAGCAAATAACTTGTATAGTGTAGCCTACGATACCGCGACAGAAAATTCAAACAACCCCATTTCCGTTTCCGGCGGTGGACTAATACCGTACATCGCAGAACATACAATACAAGTCAATGGAGTTGTACAAAAACTATGCTAAAACCGGTTGGAAAGCATCTTTTGCAGCAATTTTTATGTGAGCATATCAGTGAACACCCCAGACCACTCGGTGAGTTTCACGTCTTTGTAAACTAAAGTATTATGTGTTTTATAATATAAAGGATTGTTCCTGTGTACCTATGCAACCATTGTGAAGGTGGGGGGTGCAACCACAGAAACGTCTCGGTTACGTATGTAACCCTTGTTCTCTGAGTAGGGAACGGAGACGTTCTGTCGGATGACGACGAATGGGATTTTCGCTTAGAAAGCCTATCAGCTTCAATCAATATAAAACAATCCAATGGCAAAAGAAATGCCATGGGTCTGCAGAATTTACATAGCGTAACTCTGCTCACCTGTGGGTATTTAAGGAGGACGCTGAATGCAAATCAGGCATGTTTCTTTGCTGAGACCAAGACTGAGATCTCCGCGGCACAGCGGAAGGTGGCAGGAAGACGGAACGTCTCCGTTCCCTACTCAGGGAAGGAGGGTTACATACATAACCGAGACGTTCCCTTTCGTTATCACTCCGAGTTCCGTTGGATGACGACGAATGGGATTACCAGTCTAATCTCGCCACCTTCTCAGCTGTCTTCCACTGCCCTGCGTAAATCTGAGATCCCTGTCGCACTTAGCTTGGCACGGACGAAATACTCTTATTTAGCACAGGAATACCAAGGTACACTGGGGAGCATATTCCATAGTTTAGAGGGAGATATGCAATTATTGCCAACCCAGAGGGGGGGGGGGGGGGTCGACTTAGAGAATACACATTTGACCTGAAGTATGTATATGGGGAATCACTGGGGTGTCCAGCCGCAGGTGGAATATTTTCAACCCCGGGGGTGTCAAGGTGGCTTGCCGAGGGAAAGACACACGCTCAGAGAGGCTTATAGTGGAAATACACATGTGGAGGCAAGTGGGAAGTCACACCAAGGGGGCACGGTCGACCTTGCTGCTGGTATGCCAAAGCAATGGAGTCCACTAGCCATTGAGACAACCTTTGCTTGGAGAGGGCCTTTCCCTTCTGCTTCCCAACAAAACAGACAAGAGCTGGTCTGAGGTCCTGAAACACTGTGTTTTGTCTACGTAAGCACGAATGGCGCGTTCTGGACAGAGCAGTGCCAAGGCTGGGTCTGCCTCCTCCGGTGGCAGCACTTGCAGGTTCACCACTTGGTCCCGGAAGGGAGTAATAGGAACCTTGAGCACATATCCAGGCCGGGGTCTCAGGATCACGTGAGAGTAACCCGGCCCGAATTCCAGGCATGCTTCGTCAACGGAGAACATATCCAGAGAACATAAACATGCCTGATTTGCGTTCAGGGCTCCGGGAATATAAATGGCACGAAGGGACCTCAGACGCTTCTGACTCCATATGAGGAGGTGGCGGGAGAGTTGCGTCATACGACGGGAGCGCAGACCACCTTGATGGTTGATGTACGCTACAGTTGCGGTATTGTCTGTTCGGACTAGTACATGTTAGTTCTTGAGCACGGCTCGGAAGTGGCGCAGAGCGAGCTGTACAGTGCCGTAGGCGATTGGGTCCTGTCCAGGAGCCCGCTACAGCACGTCCATTGCACATGGCACCCCAGCCCGTGGCAGAGGCATCTGTCGTTACGACAACATGCCGGTAAGCTCGTTCCAGGGACACACACTGGCCCATAGAAAACTGAGGTTCCTCCACTGGGTGAAGGTCTGACGGCAGGTCGGAGTAACTGGTACCCGGAGCGTGCCGTGTTGCCATGCCAACCTCGGGACTCGGTCGTGAAGCCAATGCTGAAGTGGTCTCATATGAAGCAATCCGAGCGGCGTTGCTGCGGCTGCAGATGCCATATGAAAAAGTTTCAGTGGAACCGCACTCTTTCCCTCAAACTGTCTCAGGTAAGTCAGCAGTGACTGCGCGTGCTTGTTCGTAAGCTGCGCGGACATGGCGACCGAGTCGATATCCATACCGACAAAAGAGATCCTCTGCACACACAGTAAATTCCCCGGTGTTAAATTTAACACCGCTCGGTGTTTATATGGGAACCACCAGCAGGGTGTTAAAAGTAACACTGATACAGTGTTAAAGTTAATGAGATAATTAAGTGAATAATTGAGTGATGATTGAGCATTATTGAAGACACCTGATGTTAACAAGCAGAATCACTAAAGGACAAAATCACAAATTGTAAGCCACCGTTATGGAGATCAGTGTTTGCTTTAGTTGGGCTCTTGACACTTATACTTTCACTTTAACTTTGTCTGCTTTTATTAATTTATAACAGTCAAATGAACAAAGAAAACTGTGATCTGATATTGTTGGTTATGTTTTGACATAATCATGCTGTGATCTGAAAAATCTAACTTTTCAGGTGAATTGGCTTAACTTGTTAGTAACAGTTTAGTGATTGTGCAGCATGTCCGTATTTTTCTTTTAACCGAAAATATTTAATAACAACTATTCTGATCAAATCACTTTCAACTTTATTTAGAAACACAGACATAAATAGTCAGCCTGTGTATCTCAACCATGGTGACATTAATAATCCTTGTTTCCACCAATCACAACTCATTAATGGCTCCCATCATGCATTGCGGTATGAATAAATTTAAGATCTGAATTGTCTATGTAATTTACTTTTCCTAATTGAATATTCTGCTCGTCACCATTGTTGAGAAGCATTGACTGAATTTTGAGGTTTATGTGTGCCTATAAGAAGTGTTTTTTTTTTTTTTTAACAACTTGTAGAAATCCTTTATATTATATCTGACATTCTGGATATTTATGTAGAATCTCAGTTATGTTGTGACCTACAAAATTAACCACGAACATATATTTCAAATGAATGTCATAATATGACCAACACCACCATATAAATTGTCTCTTTGTTCATCTGGCAGGTATAACTCAGATGCAACAGCCAATTAAAATGTAAAGTTAATAATAAAAGGGTCAAGAGCCCAACTAAAACAAACACTCACCTCCATAACGGTGACCTGAAAGTTAGGTTTTCTCCTTGTAATTCTGCTTTAGGTGTCTTCAATAATGCTCAATCATCACTCAATTAATCACTTAATTATCTCATTAACTCTAACACTGCCTCAGTGTTACTTTTAACACCCTGCTGGTGGTTCCCATATAAACACCGAGCGGTGTTAATTTAACACCAGGGAATTTACTGTGAGGGCTGCCTCGACGACCTTCGTGAATACGTGAGGAGACAGGGCTAGCCCGAGAGGGAGACCTGCGTACTGGTATGCCTGGCCCTCGAAAGCAAACCACAGGAACGGTCTGTGTCAAGGAACATGGAAGTAGGCGTCCTTCAGGTCGATCGCTGCAAACCAACCCTGAGGCTGCACACATTTTGAAAATGCATTTCACGGTGAGCATCTTGAACGGCAGCCTGTGAACGGCAGCCTGCGAAAACATGCCTGATTTGCGTTCAGCGTCCTCCTTAAAAACCCACAAGTGAGCGGAGTTAAACAAAACACTCTTATTAGAATAACTTTTTTTTACCTTTATAAAGGGCATTTTTTTTAATATACATTACATATTACATTCTATACATTCAATTAGAATAATGAGGCAATAGGCTGTTACCAATCAAATGAAATAATTTACATTGAACAATTACAACTGTATTAAATGAGATTATTTGATTATTTTAAATATTTTTTGAATATACAAATAAGGAATGTTGAAAAGAATGATACTTTGAAACTAAACCGCCAGTAGGTGGTGCCAGGCGACCGTTTTAATGAGCGAGTCATTGAGTCATTCATTGAAACGATTCGTTCAATGGCTGATTTATTCAGAATGAGGCAGTTTATAAATTGGTAATTGAGTCTTTGACTCAACTGAGTCGTTCAAAACGCTGAATCATTCAGTAATGAAACAGAGTGTTCCTGTGAGTTGCGCTGTGATCTTTGTATGGAACTATTTTTTTGCTGCTGAAACAGAACAAAAACAGTCATTTTGTCTAAAATGTAAGTGTAAGTGTAATTTTAACTATTTGTTTATTGAACTGTTATGAAATCCGAGAATAGACACAGGCCGGGAACACAGAACCATCACGGTGGAAAAAGTGTATCTGAACATGTGACTATCTGTCCAAGTTTTGTCAAGAGCCAGTGGCGGCATGAAATTTGACGGAGGCGCCCGCCTTGTAATTCTCTATGCAGGAAAAACCCTGCGTGTAAACGGCCCCTAATTCTCTTATTCACATTACACAACTGCAGAGAGGTCTGAATGGAGCAGAAGGGTTTTCATTACTATAAACTGAGTTTAATGACACATTTCATTGATTATTACCTGTGATTGGGTTGTAGGCGTTCCCTATGTTTGTGAAGACGTTCCTGTAGGTTAGTGTGATTTCAGTGGTAAAAGGACCAATGTGTCCACCGCCAGATTGCATCAGTGCAGCTGAAAAAGCTATTTCTCTGTCTGTTGTTGAAAAACATAAGCAATATTGTGATTACAATTGTGATATTACTGTATTACACTGAGGTTTATCATTCAAGCACACTTTCACCTCTATTTTCCTTTCTCAACTCCTCCACTTGACTCAGAGTAAGATTTGATATTTCTGTGAAGGAATTAAGATTCTGTTAAATGACATTCAGACTGATTATTGTAATAGATACACAATATACAAAACTTTATGCTAACGCTTACAATATGCATCGTAATGCATTGGTGTTTTACTTGGAGGATCATCGATAAAAGTGTGAATGTTTTGGTGAGGTACCAGCATTTTTCTTGTTCATCTCTTCCAGGATAAACGTCTGTTGTTCACTCAGTCGTGTCTCTAAAGCTCTGATGTTTGATTTCTGCTCTGTAACTGTGGCGGTCAGTTCTCTGTTGATGGTTTTCTGCTCTGTAACTGTGGCGGTCAGTTCTCTGATGTTTGTTTTCTGCTCTGTAACTGTGGTGGTCAGTTCTCTGATGTTTGTTTTCTGCTCTGTAACTGTGGTGGTCAGTTCTCTGATGTTTGTTTTCTGCTCTGTAACTGTGGCGGTCAGTTCTCTGATGATGGTTTTCTGCTCTGTAACTGTGGCGGTCAGTTCTCTCAGTGCTGCATGGATGTCAGTGAAGAACAGATGGTAGTTTTGTCGGCTGTCAGTTGAAGCTTCATCTCTCAAAGTGTCTGTTTGAGGTGGATTCTGTCCTCCGTCCTCAGATCTGAGCTGTTGACTGATCTCATTCTCATTGAGTCCTCCATCTACCTGATGCTGTACGACACACACAAAGGTTTCCAACAGCAGCAGTAAACACACTAAACCCTTCATTCTTCACTGATGTTTGTTTCCAGCTCTTGCTCTTCATCCTCACAGCCTCTCATGTTCCTTTTATAGTGTCCTGATTTACTGTCGTTTGTACTTTATCTATATTTCTTCAGATAAAAAACAAAACAAAAAAACAGTTCAAGTTAATTGTTAATCACAATCAAAGGGATGTTCCGGGTTCAGTAGATGTTTATCTCTATTCACTACATTTGTAGCTCTATGTTGAGCTCAACAGAAAATAACTCAGATTCATCTCTCTCCCTTTAAATATATATATATTTTTGAATTAATATATATTACACAGCTCCCCACTGTGTATATATATTAATTAAAAAATAGCAAGTATTTGATACACTGCCGATTTTGCAGGTTTTCCCACTTCCAAAGCATGTAGAAGTCTGTAATTATTATCATAGGTACTCTTCAACTTTGAGTGGCGGAATCTAAAACAAAAATCCAGAAAATCACATTGCCTGATTTTAAATAATTAATTAGCGTTTTATAGCATGACATAAGCTGGTTTGCATGACCATTTTTGCACACTCTGCAGCAGGGATTTTGGCCCACTCCTCCATACAGACCTTCTCCAGATCCTTCAGGTTTTGGGGCTGTCGCTGGGCAACACGGACTTTCAGCTCCCTCCAAAGATTTTCTATTGGGTTCAGGTCTGGAGACTGGCTAAGCCACTCCAGGGCCTTGAGATGTTTCTTATGGAGTCACTCCTTAGTTTCTCCGGCTGTTTCGGGTCGTTGACATGCTGGAAGACCCAGCGTAGTGTGTTACTAATGGTTTTCTTTGAGACTGTGTACTTCTGGGCTGATCCCTCACCTTCCTCATGATCATTGATGCCCCACGAGGTGAGATCTTGCATGAAGCGCCAGACTGAGGGAGATTGACCGTCATCTTAAACGACTTCTATTTTTGAATGATTGGGCCAAATGTTGTTGCCTTCTCACTAAGCTGCTTGCCTTTTGTCCTGTAGCCCATCCCAACCTTGTGCAGGTCTAGAATTTTATTTGATGTCCGTACACAGCTGTCTGGTCTTGGGCATTGAGGAGGGGTTGGAGTCTGTTTGTTTGAGTGTGTGGACAGGTGTCTTTATATAGGTAACGGGTTCAAACTGGTGTAGTTAAATACTTCAGCTATTGTCACGTGCCAGTGATTATCCCGACCTCTGATATTGTTGCTGATAATGACTCTCTGGTGTCCATATGCATAACATAAAGCTGGTACACCTGGTAACTTTTGTAAGATATGACAAAATGTAGAGAATGGATGTTAATTTACACAGAACATCTTACGGATAGAGTTTAACTGGAGTTGAATCCACAAAATTACTTTAAATGGCATTTTCCCCTGTGGGAGAAATTGTATCTTTAAGATGTGTGTGACCATCATATGACAGGAAAAGAGCAATCACAAAGACTATTATTCATATATATTTACACATATTATTCGAATATAGAATTGTATTGGAATGGTAAAGAGTATTGGTACGTGACAGGAGGGCCTCCACTCAAGGATACAATATGATACAGACATGAAATGAACAAGTTTAATGTTCCACATAAGGTTGAAAATACCATCATTGGCCTAGAAATATAACATTCTGGGAGTCAAGACTATAAAGGAGGAAGGATGCCCTCCCTTCACTCTGTGTGACTGTACGACTGCTGGCCTTTTCTTGTAAGAAAATGAACCTCATCAAAGACAACTGGAAATATTTGTCTTTTATTTAGTGATGTAATTTAGTTGGACCCCACACATGCAACAACATCCTGTATTAACAGATTTAAAACAGAATAAATGCATAGATTAATAAATACAAAAAGGATCAATTTCATTCTTTCCTTGCTGTTACTGTTAATTATTTACCAGAATAGTCTGAAGATAACAGGCTATATGTGTAAAACTCACTATTATTCAACAGAAAATTTTATTTTATTTAAAATGTAATAAACTTTTCATGTATAAGAGTGCCCTAGATTTGGGGAAATCGGATTTACGCCCTTATGATAACGTGTACAATAACTTGTTTTACGGTGCCATAATGTGAGCTGTTGTTTTGCGATGTGTACTTTGATCTTAACATCTTTAACCTTATTATTATTCTCAGGTTAGATAAAGTGAGTCGAGTCTGACCTAAATTATAAGCTTTTAAAAGGACTTACAATTTGTTCAGAAGACTTCTCTGTGATCAAAACTCACAGAGTTTTGATTCATAGTGTTTTAAGGCTTTGAATAAGAACTTCTAACACAGTACAATTTCAGTTGATGAAACTACCCAGACAGCAAACTGACATTGAATCAACGTGGAAACGACGTCTCTCATGACATTGAAACAACGTTGATTTGCTCATCGAATTAATGTTGAACCAACGTCAGACGCGGCATTCTTCAAAGGTAAATGAAATCGAAAATTGGTTTGCTTTCATAACGTTGAAACAACGCGTTGATTTCAAGTTGATTTTCCGTTAGTTTTGAAAGAATGACGCGTCTGACGTTGGTTCAACGTTAATTCGATGAGCAAAACAATGTCAGATCAACGTTGTTTCGATGTCATATTTCCACGTTGATTCAATGTCAGTTTGCTATCTGGGTACAAACTGGCACGGAGGTATATAATTACAAAATAAAGTCATTATGAATGTTATTGTTGTTAATATTATTTTATAAAGTAGGTAATGTAAGATAAAAGGAGTTTTATCAGTACGCGTGACGAAGCCTTTTCTGCGACAGCTCCAACTCTCCGACGCACAGTGTAAACGTCAGCGTCCGAATTCACTCACTTCATCTCGTTCACTCCTTGCAGATAAAGTGCACTCAAATGCCATACACTTTATAGGGATTAGTGAATGAGTGAACGAGTGAGCGCTTTCAGACACAGCTAATGACAGTAAAATTATTTATTAATGGTAACAAAACAGGCAGTTGACAGTTTCATAGTGACACTTATATAAACATATAAAGTACTTAAAAAAAAACTTGTATGGTAAATACTATCAGGGTATACTTATATCCTCTACTGTTGTAGTAGTAACTGCATAATGGTGTCCAGACAGATGTCCAGCAATCTGTAACAAGGCTCCTCACAATCCAGTGCACATGAAATTAGGAACAAGTCTTTGTTACACTAATGAGGTAGATCAAGGCCTCTTTGAAGGGAGCATAGTTGTAATTGACAGCACCGTCAAAAATAACTGAAAGGTAATAATGTGCATAGTGCTGCTCTGCTCTCACTTTGTCTGCCAATGATAAAACACTTAAACTGAATAAACTTGTAAAGGAAATGTGACATACCTGGAATCCTGTGAGCATTCCACGATTGCACAAATCTGTTTATGCCAATCTGGCACATCTGGCAGGTCAGATGTGTTAGATGCGCAAAACGTTGTCAGACTGTCCTCCATATTTATTGCTTCCTGATCTTGTAGCTGGATGAGGGCGTCCTTTCGTGGATAATTCAGTCTGTTGTTAAAGAGATACTTCTGGATTTAGCATTAACCTTTGTTTTAGTTGAAAACCTGTAGTATTTTCGAATTACCGTGCTTTCCACACTCATATCCCCCTGAGATGAGAGATTTATGCATTTTTTTTCTGGAAAAAATCCTGACGATTTTTGCGTCATTGCAGGATTTTGTTGTCCAGAGGCTAAACACTACAGTCAGTAGTAGGGCCGTCCCGCATGTTCTTAACCCGCCCATAGAGGGTGATCTCACTCACAGAATAAACATAGTGTCGGCCATCTTTTTCTGGAAGCTAAGCTAGCAGGCTCTTGTTCTGTGGAGAAAGCATCCTCTTTTTCCCGGACATGTCCGCCCGTCGATGTCCAGGATTCAGCTTTGCAGTCGCCAGCTTTTGTTTCAATCTAACTGAATTCAAGTTACGTCTGAAGATGAGAAAATTGTGTTTTAAAGTGGTATGGCAACAAGCCGGTAATGATGCTGTCTGTTGTCCGTAGGGTTGGGTATCGTTTGAATTTGAACGATTCTGATTCCGATTACGATTCCTTGTTTCGATTCCGGTTCCTAACGATTCTCGATTCTGATTCTTTTAAGAGGCAGGGTCAAAAAAGTTTAGCTAACCTTGCTAACCAACGGCCTTTCTGAAGGAAATAATCCTTTCTGAAGGAAATACTCCTTCTGTAAAAATACTCCTTTTGTCACAAATTTTGCATTTTGCTGAGATTTCGTTATTTTTATAAAAGTGAAGCCACACTTTGGATCGCCAACGTAAGGTACTCATGTTCGACTCGCGTGGTTATACCAACACGTCCGGTAGACGCTTCTTCGTTGGTGTTGTTCAGCGGTTTCTTCTTCGGCTCGGCGGACTGTGAATATCGAAACTAGGAATCGAAATTTTAACTTTTGAACGATTCCGGGAAAAACGAAAAGTTAGTCTCGGTTCCAATCGATACTCGATTCTCGATACCCAACCCTAGTTGTCCGTGATGCACATCCTGAAGACAGCTGCCAGCGATGGGACAAGAAACAGAACAAATTTGTGTCTATCAGACGACCAAATATTGTTCGCAAGTACAATAACAAGATGGGTGGGGTTCACCTCATAGACAGGATGATCAGCTACTACAGAATGAGTGTCCGTACCAAGAAGTGGGCGCTTTGGATGCTTATGCACTTCACTGATAGCTGGCCAACAGCTGGCTACTGTACCGCCAAGACCACAAAGTACGCGGCACAGGAAGAAAGGGCATCATGCAATTTCATGAATTCCGAATGGAAGTGGCCAAGACATTCTTGGCCCAGCAAAATGCACAGGAAGACACTACAGACCTCTCAGAACAGGAAGACAACACAGAGCAAAAGAAAAAGCGCCCTGTGAAGGAAGTCCCCCACATCTCAGTCCGCAGAAGAGGCTAATGCACATCTTCCAGAGGTGGTCAACCTGAAGAATGCAGCGAACTGCAGAGCACCAGGATGTTCTGGGAAAACTCGGGTTCGATGTGTAACATGCAAGGTGTTCTTGTGCTTGCAAGCTGAATGAAACTGTTACACAGTCTTTCACACCAGTTAAATGTGATAAAAAGAAGATAAAAGAACAT